AGATAGATAGATAGATAGATAGATAGATAGATAGATAGATAGATAGATAGATAGATAGATAGATGTAGAGAGGTAGAGAGTTATATGGTCTTCAAACTTGGCAAGTTCAAGAATTGTGGACTTCAACTCCCAGAATTCCTGAGCTAACATGACTGGAGGAGGAAATCTGGGAGTTGAAGTCCACAAGTCTTAAAGCTGTCAAGTTTGAAGACCCCTAGATTAGAGGGATGGCTTTGAGAGGAGACCAGACTAGACTCTGGTCTGGTTTCGTTGAGCAATGAAAACTTGTTTACCTGGAGCATGGACAGACGGATCCCCTCCAGAGGTTTGTCTGGGTCCACCTTCACCTCCCTGGCTTGACCAAACCCATCCCAGCTTTTGATGGACACACCCGCTTGGAAAGACCCCTGCAAGGGAAAACATGACCAACTCACTTCCAGGGTTAAAAAGTGGATGTCCTTCTGGGGAGAGTCGGGGTTGGCTTTGACTGTCCTGGCACTCTGGAATTCCCCCAAATCTCGAATTTGCACCGAGGCGAGAGAAGCTCCCTGTTGGGTAAGGCAGCTCACATCAGTGAGGGATCCATGCAGCTATGGACACTGTCTTCTTCCTAGTTATCTCTCTAGGCCAGGGGTCCCCAAACTTGGCAACTTTAAGACTTGTGGACTTCAACTCCCATAATTCTCCAGCCAGCTATTGTGGGAGTTGAAGTCCACAAGTCTTAAAATGGCCAAGTTTGGAGACTTCTGGTCTAGGCTATTGTTTCTCAGCCTTGAAAACTTGAACAAGCGTGGACTTCAACTCCCAGAATTCCCCAGCCAGAAAAAGAGCCGTGGTGGCGCAGTGGTTAGAATGCAGCACTGCAGACTAACTCACTGCTCACGGCCAGGAGTTCAATCCTGACCGGCTCAAGGTTGACTCAGCCTTTCATGCTTCTGAGGTTGGTAAAATGGGGACCCAGATTGTTGGGGGAAAGAAGCTGACTCTGTAAACTGCTTAGAGAGGGCTGTAAAGCTCTGTGAAGCGGTTTATAAGTCTAAGGGCTATTGCTATTGCCCTTCCTTCCTTCCTTCCTTCCTTCCTTCCTTCCTTCCTTCCTTCCTTCCTTCCTTCCTCCCTCCCTCCCTCCCTCCCTCCCTCCCTCCCTCCCAGTGGTTAGAATGCAGTACTGAAGGATAATTCTGCCCACTGCCAGCAGTTCGATCCTGACCGGCTCAAGGTTGACTCAGCCTTTCATCCTTCCGAGGTGGGTAAAATGAGGACCCAGATTGTCGGGGGACAGAGTAAACTGCTTAGAGGGGGCTGGGAAGCACTGGGAAGTGGTATATAAGTCTAAGTGCTATTGCTATGCCTCTTCAAGTTGTCAAAGTTGAGAAACATTGCTTTAGATTGAGCCTGGGCATTTCATGGTCCACAGCTTGTCCCAGTCCTGCCTGTGTTGGTGGGTGGCATCAGTGGTGTGTGTGTGTGTGTGTGTGTGTGTGGAGTGTCAGTGGCAGGGGGTGGAGAAATGGCTCTCCCCCCCCTTCAAATAGGACAAATAGGCTGAAAAACAGCTTCTATCCCAGGGTAGTAGCTCTGTTGAATTCTACTGTATAGTGCAGGGTTAGTCCAGTGTCAGGGTTTTCAATTCAATGTGTGGAGTATGAAGGATGTGTGTTTGTGTTTATTTTCATGGTCATGATGTGCACTGAAGATGGTGTTTGATTTCGTTGTACGAAGTGCAATGACAAGAAAGTAAACTAAACTTTTATTTAGATTTGTCTTTTACTTTATGACAATTTTTTTAAATAAAAATTGTGTTTGTGTTTGTGTTTGTGTAAGGGACACAATGACCACACAGGGTTTACCAGAATGCCCATTTAAATGTAACAATGCTGAATTGCTTGAATCGATTAATATGAAAATCTATTCATTGTTACCATGGGCTCCACCCATGATTTTAGTAATTTCCCTCTAGTGGGAGATTAAAAACTAGAGTTTGGGCAGCTTTGAGAATTTAATGAGAACTTTTGGACTGCTAGCATTTGGGTCCTCTAATTAAATAGAAGTATTCTCTACTTCTTGATTATGATAGCTAAAAGAGTATTCTGGAATTTAACTTTATGCCTTTGAATATATTATTGAATATGCATCCTTAAATGTTCTTGTGGATGCAGAGGGAGGGAAGGAAAGAAATACCTTGAAATTGGGAATCCGATGGTGAACTGGTCTTGGAAAATCAGCCAGGTTATTGGCTTCCATATAATCCCAAATTTTGTTTCGGATGTCCCATTTGGAAACTCCTCATTAGGGGAGGAAAGAAGAAGAGAGATGAAAATTACCTCCATGTTTTTTGTTTTTTTTCCCAAACCTGTTCGGTTTAGCTTTCAGGATAAACCAAGCCATAAATTGCATGTTTGGTTATATCACTATCGTTTTGCTCCTAGCAGAGTTTAAAAATTGGCTGTGGCTGTGGATGATGGGACATATAATCCAACTCTCTTAGGAAGGCACCAGTTTGGGAAAGGATGAAGGATGAAGCCGTTAATGAATCTGTGTTTATCAACTTTGGCCACTTGAAAATGATTTCAAAACTCCGAATATTATGCAATACGGCATAAACTGTATGAATGGTTAGGGAATAGATATAAAAGGAAGAAGATTAGAGTAATATAACCAATTTAAGAGACCTTAAGAGAGTAATATGATGGACATATAGAATATAATGTATATAACCTATATAAGATAGCAACAAATATAGATAAGATGCAATAGATATGGGTTGATGTATGCAAAGAAAAATGGATATAATAGGATTTATATGACATATATATTTGTCGATGCCAATGTACTGTTTTAAAATTGGGGAATTCTGGATGTTGAAGTCCAGATGTTTGCAAGTTGCCAAGGTTGGGAAACACTGAATGTGAGTATTTGAGGGGCTGCCACAAAGAAGAGAGGGGTCGGCTTATTTTCCAAAGCCCCAGAAGGCAGGAGAAGAAACAATGGATGGAAATTAATCAAGGAGAGAAGCAACCTGGAATTAAGGAGAAACTTCTTAACAGTGAAGGCAATTAACCAGTGGAATGCCTTGCCACCAGAAGTTGTTGGTGCTCCATCAATGGAGGTTTTCAAGAAGAGATTGGACAACCATTTGGCTGAAATGGTATAGGGTCTCCTTCTTAAGCAGGGGTTGGACTAGAAGACCTCCAAGGTCCCTTCCAGCTCGATTCTGATTCTGATTCTGAATGAATGGAAGCCACCTCACTTAGGGAGCCATCAGCTGAGTACAGGGGCTGCATAGTTCGTGAGAATGCACCCCAAACCGGGCAGAGAGGAGCCTCGATCCCCAAATCTCCCGATTGCCGAGCTAAAGATCGGCTGCTGCCCCTGGCCCACCTTCTCTTCCGCTAAACCCCTTCCTCTTACCGGAGCTTCCCACTCTCTCCATGCTCCTGGTCGGAAGCAACCTCCGGAGCCAGAGCAAAGACTCGGAAGTCGGTTACATTGTCTCCGAGCGCTTCCTCCGTCCGTTACATTGCAGCGCCGCCCCTGAGCTCCTTCGGGCAGGCGCTTGCTCTGACTACGGCAGCCGTGCGGGGACAAGCCGTCGGAGCCTCTCCTGCCGTTCAGGAGCCTCCCCAGGATGGCTGGGCAGGATTCAAAGGGGCGCCTCTCTGGAGGGTCAGCATCTTTCCCTCCTGCGAACCTCTAGATGTTCGGGAAAGGTGATCCCGCGAAGTTTAAATCCCTCCCCCCCTCCCTCCCCATTGCAACTTACTTCCCTTCATTCCTTCTTATTTCATTTAACCCTTCCTTCCTTCCTTCCTTCCTTCCTTCCTTCCTTCCTTCCTTCCTTCCTTCTTTCTTCCTTCCTTCCCTTCCCTTCCCTTCCCTTCCCTTCCCTTCCCTTCCCTTCCCTTCCCTTCCTTCCTTCCTATTTCAACTTACTTCCCCTCATTCCTTCTCCTTATTTCATTTAACCATTCCTTCCTTCCTTCCTTCCTTCCTTCCTTCCTTCCTTCCTTCCTTCCCTTCCTGTCTCACCTTCCTTCCTTCCTTCCTTCCTTCCTTCCTTCCTTCCTTCCTTCCT